AGTTGCAAGTCAGCAAGCTACAAGTAAAGTGAGCAGAGAAGCGAATTGCGAATAAGCAAGCTATAAGTTTAATTGTGTGTAACAAGTTCAGTAAAGCGTTGTAATTGCCTTAACAAGTATTGTAGTATTTTTACTGTATTAGCAAGTATTGTAAAATTGTTTGTTGTACAATAAAGTTAATTGTACTACAATTCGGTCATCGTTAGCATTTATTTAACAATCCAGCGATACGAGCCCGAGTATATTTGGGAAATCCCTCAAGGTTTCGAGGATAATCGTAACAATATCAAGTAAAGTAAAGTGACAATTGTCACGCCAATGAAACAGTGTTGATATTTTTAGTACAATTGTACTTTCTTCAGTACAATTAATTTTAAAAAGTACAAAACTACAATTTGCCGATTTTAAGTACAATTTCAACATCAAAAATACTTTTTGTACCAAACGCTCAAATCTCTTCTAGCACTTTGATTCTTAATCCGTTTACATTTAAGTAAATGGATATACCTATATTTGCTACAAAACGAAATTATGAATTGTAATTTTGAATGTAAACGTGATTGTGAGCAGTAATATTAGTGATGTGCGTTATGGTGATTGCGATTTCTTATCACCGGCGGGTGAAATATCCCTCATCGCTATTTATTTTGAAAAAATCTTTGGAAATGCAATTTACCTAATGGCGATCCTGCAGAAATAGAAGTAATTGAGCAATTCGGGGGTTGAAAGTAAAAAAATGTATGTAAATTCCATGCGTTGAAATTATAAATTTCCCTTGAGGATTTCCATTTTATCGATAGTGATCTCATTTTATGTTCATTAATATGAACTGACCTATATAGTGTATTAATGTTTTATCATCATTGTCTTCATCTTTGACACGGTCTTTTACACGGTCACCCGGTATTTATTTTATTTTTTTAAATAATTTTAATTATTTTTTTTTATAAAATTGTAGCTCATTGTCAAACAAAAACCTTGCCAATAAATCTAAACTTGAAATAATGAAAAAAATGAACAAACTTTCATCAAATTTTCACAGTTTTTGTTCAGAATTTGTAGACATGTTTGGGTTCATTCTAGTATAATAAGGTGCAAGTTTGAAGTGTCTAGAAAATACCATTGATTTTTTGAATTTTTCTGTTTGCGGTGTTGCGCACTTTCTTCCATATAACGAACGTTCGCATTTTATGTTATATGGATGAATGCGCGTGTAGCGTTGTTGTTTTTTATTCCAATATTTTAAATTAAGCTTTATTTTATAGTTTTTCTTANTTATATGGATGAATGCGCGTGTAGCGTTGTTGTTTTTTATTTCAACAGTTTAAATTAAGCTTTATTTTATAGTTTTTGTTAGACAATGATAAATGATGTACACAAATTTCAGTGTGGAAGAAAAAGTGCAACACCTTCAACGAAAAAAGTTCTCAAAAATCTACGCGAATTGAATGTACTATCTCGATCATTTAAACATCTCGGACTCGCCTACCACTAAAAATGATTATTTAAACCTAAAGTATATATTAAATGGTATTTAATATTTACTTTAGAGATGAAATTTCGACAAATTTGTTTAAACAAAAATGTTAAGCGCATATGCAGAATGTGGAAGCGAGATTGTTCTGCTTGCGTTTCTATGTTTATATCATTTATCAGTTTAAGCACATACGATTAAATGTAAAAAAAATATTTTTAATTGCGGATCCGAAAGAAATATTTATTAGTTGCATTGAGTTACGCAAAAATAGTGCCGAAAATCAATCGATTGTGCTGAAGGTGCCGGCTGCTTCCGAAAGGACCGAAAATGGCACAATGCTCACTTTTCCATCACTGTCACACATACAATCTCACTATTATGTTGACTTCGTTTTCCCCTTCCGATAACTTTTTGCTTCCGCGCTTGCCCAGCACCGCTGTGCAAAGCTTTGCACGCGCAGTCGCCCGCGACACATATATGCTGATTTGGGCATCCCTAATGTAATTAGTGAAATTAATAAAAAAAAAACAAATAATATAAAAATATCACGCTTGCCCACAATGAGAGGCGGGGGGCTTAGGTTTTTTCACGTAGTCAATATCTATCGTTTTTTTAGCTACATTCAAATTTGGCTCTTTTTAAGTTCACTGACGTACATATGACATCACCGGAAGGATGTGCTTAATTTGTGGACTTTATTTTGCCTAAAAAATTTCTATAAACAACCAAGGCAAGACGAATTTATACAAGGTGGTGTTGTAAAATCAGCTGATTTTTTCGTCTTACATGTATTTTGTTTTTGCTTTTACTGATTTGACAGCACACCCATTTTGTATCTTGTTGACGTTCGGAAGTTTTTTTGTGCAAAAAATTACGTTTTTTAACTTTCCAGTAATTTTTCTCTGTTACTAAATCTTGTAAGTAGAACTGATTTTGAATTATTTTCTTAATAAATCTTTACAATCTTTGTTTTTTTGCAGCAGCTTCTTCAAAAGATATTTATCCTTTGGACACAAATTACTTAAATACGATGCAAATCAGACATACGCTCATTTTTTTGGAATGTTGGACTAAGGATCCCGCGTTCAAAGGCTGGTTTTGTAACCACTTGAGGTTACGAGGCTTATTGCAATTGCACATTAAAAGCCAAATCCGGAAGAGCTGATCTATTGCAACACGAACACTCGCAAACGCATGAAAAAGCCGTAGCAGCATAAAATGTCAGAAAAAGTATGCGACTTTTTTAAGACTTCATTGAAAATGTAATGAACGCAAAAAAATGCTGAAATATTGCTATGTTCCTTTTTAGCAGAACGTAATTTAGCATTTTCGATAACCGACCACCTAACAAAATGTCTACAAGAGAAAAAAATATATTAAAAATCAACGCGATTCTTTAGTAACTTAAAACTTGCACATTATTATCCTGGATTCTCAAAAAAATTCTTAAAAATCTGAATAACTAGTTGAAAATCTAGCTGAAACTTTGCAGATTTTGTATAATTTGTTGCACAAAGTTTGAAATGTGGATTTATATTTTGTTTGTTATAAAATGAGCCAGGGCATGAATCCTGTATGACGACAATCGTTTGGACGATATCGTGTTGAAATTGTCTTGCGTCATGTAAACATAAATTGTTTGATCGTTTAAGCAATATTGTTAACTCGATTCCAATTTGGCTTTACGCAACAGTAACAGTAACACGTAACAGCATCACAAATACATGAATAAGTGTTTTGAAGTCATTGTTTTGTCTGTTTTTGGGTGGGAAATGACGTTTTTTCAGGCCAACGGGGGGCGTTTTCTCATGTCGAAGACCTGGCAACACTGCTTGACACCGACCATTGTTGAAGATGATTGAGATGGAAATTAGATGTTAATAAGAATAACAGATAAACTTTCACTTCTGACATTTTGCTCAAAATGAAAGTGAAAATGAAAGAAAAAAGTGTTTTTGACAATTAATACGGATTTCTTTATTGTATTGTCAGCATTGTCTAATCTAAACGCGCCGTTATTAAATATGCCTTGAGTTTCGGTCGAAAATATCCGTTGTGGTCAAGACGAATTCATACAAATAATAAGGGTACTCATTTAAAAGCGCAAAACCCTCGCAAACTTGCCAAAATGTAATTTTAAACCCTCGCAAATGAAATGTCAAAATTTGTATGGAAAACCACAGGCGAATTCATATAAGGTGGTAGCGGTAGCCCAAAAACAAAAAAACTATACTAACAAATTATACGCACAATGACAATCAGATTTTACAACAAACAAATTATTATAACAATCAGTACAACGGCAGCGAAAATCTAGGGGCCGGGTTATAATGGAAGTAATGGAACAGAGTAAACTGTTACTTAATTATCTATTGTATGCAAAATGAATGCAAATGGTTATAGTCACAATACAGAATTATAGTGCACGTAAGCGTAATTCAACATGAGAACACGTTTTAAGGCATTTTTATGAGTGATTTTATCTAAATTGGGTGTTTAAAATGGCTGACAACAATTTGGGTCATTTTGGTTTTCGTTGTTTTCTTTTCTTTGTTTACTTGGTTTAATTTTCTTCGTTTTCCAGCGAATCAAGATGGCGTAGAACCCACTAAAAATAGTTTAATTCCTTATCTTTTTGGACTAAAATCTGAAAAGTGTCAAAATGCCAGAGCGTAAGCAAACTGCGCTCACTAAAAGAAAATAACAGCAAAAGTAAAGGAACACAAAAAACCAAATTTTTAGTCCAAAGAAAGGCAACAACAAAGCTAACGTCAAATAAGAATGGAAATGTATGTACAAAACACATTCACACAAGCACAAGCACAAGCACAATAAACACTTAGGGCCGGTTGCTCAAAGCCCGGTTGACACTAATCCCCGGTTAAACATCGTTATCGACGTTACCGACACCATGTTATTTGCATGGAGCCGAAAACGTCGATAACGATGTTAATCGGTGATTCGTGTTAATCAGGCTTTGAGCAACCGGCCCTTACTATATCAATTTTTTTTACCTCCTTCCAATTTCAATTCACTTTTTTAACTTTTTAGATTATTCTCACTTTTTGCGTATTCTTTAATTTCTGTTAATTTAAATTCAGTTGAGTTTGACACTTTTCAGGATTTTGCCAGGAAAAATTCTTCTGACTAAATCTAACTACTTCGGACTGATGAGAGTCACTCTCACTGAGTGTTGCTCTCTCAGTTTTGCTGTCATTTCCGAGTTACGGGACGCTTTTTGGACTAAATCTGACTACTTCGGACTTTTTCTGACTATTTCTGGGAGATAAGGAACGCTCCTAATATCTACTTTTTTCATTTTCTTGTTCTTTCGTGAATTCGTCGCGATTCGTTACTATTCGCCCCGTGCACTATAACCAAGGCATTAGTTATCGCCTGTAATAAATATCGATACATTGTTTGTATCTCAAAACTGGAAAATGTTATAAACAATTGTAACAAATTTTCGAGGCGCAGGAGCATTTCATTGTGTATACATAGTAAAAATTTGGGATTGTTACCTTGCCTTTTATGCTATTATGTCGCATATAGAATCGAGCGAAACGGACTATTGGAGAAATGACGGAAAAACCTCTTTTGTCAAAGAATGGAAAAGCTGGTGCCGCCTCTGCGCGAAAGCTGACGCTCAGTACATTAATGTCCTATCGCGACAATATCCAGAGTTTTTACATGAAAGCACAAATTACAACCCATTTGACATGGTTTCCGTTATAGGGGATTTCTTTCGTGTTCATGTAAGCTTGTCTTTGAAAATTTATCTAATAGAATCATGATACATGAATAGAATTATGCATTATTTTTTATTCTTGCAAACAGATCAAAGAAGATGAAAAGCTTTCGCCTATGGTTTGTACGGATTGTTGCCATGTAATTGCATCATTCGTCAAATTCAGTGAGAATGTGGGAAAAGTTCAACAATTGTATGATGATCTTCTCCATAGTGACGACAAAACGAAAGTAGATATACTGGCTGTATATGAAAAGTATGGTTTAACTAAAGAACTTTCGGCGGTACAACAGGCCACCACGCCCACCGTAGAAGAAGTTTTCATTGCTGACTCGCCTAACACGAGCAATACACATGCCTCAAAGTATAAAGTAAAAAAGGAAAAAGCGTCTGATGAACTATCAACTGAGGTATTTATTAAAGAGTTTGAAAAGAAAGACGAATTAGATCCTTTTGGGGAAGACAGTGCGCCTACCGGACTAAAGGACTGCCCTTCCACACCGGACGATGAGAGTAGTAGTGGAAGTGAAGATTATAATATGCCAATGGATACCTCAGAAGATGAAGAGGACTCAAAAAATAATGCAGTTAATAATGAAATCTTGCAATCAGATAACCCTTCAGAAATCTCGAAAAAGCGTAAATACATTTGCAAATTTTGCTCCCAACGTTTTCAACGTAGTGGCAACTACTCTGTTCATATGAAGAAAAAACATGGAATAATCGTTTGTCCGAAATGCACTAATTCATTCGAGAATGAATTAAGTTTAAAGCGTCATATGAAAGATCATCAGGAATTGTTCCCCTGCCCACACTGTGATCGAAAATTTCAAATAAAAGAATACGTAGCTCAACACATAAAGTTTGTGCACCAGGATGAACGTCCATTTATTTGCGAAACTTGCGGTGATGGTTTGCGCACTAAAGGACAACTCAAAGAGCATATGTTGACACACACAGATTATTCGCCCTTCGAATGTAAGGAATGTGGAAAATGCTTCAAGCAAAAGCAACGTTTGAAGGTACGGATATATCCGATATTTATATCATTATTTAACAGTAGCGCTATTTCCAGAGACACATGCAAATACATGGAGACAAGCATATATGCACAGAATGTGGCAAGCAATTAAGTACGCGTGCTACTCTTAATAGTCATTTGCTGGTGCATTCCGATAAGATGCCACATAAATGTGATTATTGTGGTCGGCTCTTTAAGCGTGCCAAAACTCTTAAAAATCATTTAATTGCACATACCGGCCTTAGACCTTATTCATGCGACTTTTGTGAAAAAACTTTCTCGACTGGCCCTAGTTGTCGTTTTCATAAAAAGACTATGCATCCAGTGGAACTAGCTGCGCTAGAAGCGTCAGGTGTTAAAGCGTATACAAGAAATATACCCAATTTGGATGTTTTAAAGGCAGTGTAAGTCTTAAGATGTGAAATTATAAGCTAAGCGAGTATGTATAATAGTTGTGTTTAATGAGCTGCTCTAGGTTACGCCAGGTTAAGATATGACACAAAATCGTGTTTCATGGGATATTTCTTGCTCTAACTTACTCTACTCTTGCTTTGGCGGCCTCTGTGGTGTAGTAGTAAGCAGTGCGCGCTTCCACTACGCAGGGCTTGGGTTCAAGCAATGGTCAAAGCAACACCACAAACAAATTTTGAAAAAAGGGTTTTTCTTAACAGCGGTCGCCCCTCGGCAGGCGATGTCAAACCTCCGAGTGTATTTCTGCGTAAAACTGTAGGTCCCTCCCCTTTGTGTGACAACATCAAGGCGCACGACACAAATCGGAGGGGAAGGTCGGCCAAACCCTAACATATGTGTAAGCGCCAATCTATTTTACGTTCCTTTTATTAGCTCGGGATGTAACTATGTAATATTGATGCGCCTAAAAGATGCAGCGATTTCTGTTCTCAAGTTACATACCTGATGACAGTACGAATGGCAATTATAATAGGGAGGTTAACACACTCTACTTTTTGTTTCATGAGTCTGCGCTAAATGGAACTAGAGCAACTTAGAGCACGATTTTCTGCACCAGCTTTTTTGATGGAGTAACCTAGAGCGAGCAACTGCGAATTTCTGCCTGAAAAGTGTTTCATGAGGTTTCTGATCTTAGTTGCTCGAACTTGCCCTATTGTTTATTGTCATTAAACACAACTAATAAATCTTGTGATATTGTTATCATGTTTTTTTTCTCAGATCCCGGACGGCAGATAACCTCACGCCGCTGGCGTCGAAACAAAATGGTTATGCAGTATTCGATAAGAAAAGAGATATTCCAGATCAAGATTTGAATTCAAAACCGGTCGAAGATGCCAATAAATAAATAAATATAATGTGCTTAATATCAATCGCATACATCAACATTTTTTATCAAATGCCACCGTATTTTATGAGAGCAACTAAAAGAAGGATGACTCTAGATTACATGATTTCGAGGTTAAAACAACAGCAACAGTAGAAAACTTAGGCGAAAACAATGGTGAAAAACTAGAGTACATACATATGTATGTGCTAAGTAATTTTATTTATTTGTTTTGGTGATTTTCACATTTTGCATTACGTTGTGTGGAATTTTCTTCACAATAATCGGCCTTATCGCGAATTCCATATTCCCAAAAATTATAATGCTAAACAAAAAGATTTTTCCCAATATGTTTACCAGTACGAATATGTTTAATGTTGTATACCTGTTAAATTAAAGGGGCGATTTAATCAAACCATAATTGGCGATAAGGCTGAATAATAAAAAATTAATCCAAAAATAAGTGTGTGTACAATTAAATCATATCAAGGCGAATTGATTTAAGGTGATAGTAGTACAAAAAAAAATTTACAACAGAGCTGGGCACGATTAGGTACATTTTCATTACTTATTTTTAGCATTACGATTACCCTAATTGTAATTATAACATGCTTGATAACGAATACTTTAAGTGTAATCTTTCAAATTTAACGATTACCACAAATGATGAAAATGGGCCACGCCCACTTATGACTACATGTGTATATCTCTGTTATAGCTGCACCAATTTCCCTCGCACGGTTGTTGGCCTTAGTACAACATATCAAATGGCCGAAAATTTTTTAAATCGGACAGTAACCACGCCCACATCCCATATAACGGTAATTTGGAGAAATAGGAAATCTGATAAATAGTAAATACCGAAGCTAATTTATTCAATTTGATGTTTGGAATAATTCTTTAGCACAAAATACGTTTATAATAAAATTTTGGAAAATGGGCGTGGCACCGCCCACTTATGACCACAAATGTCTTATCCCGGTAACCGTTCGAGCAATTCGTGCCAAACTCGGCATGGTCCACAAAAAAAAATCGATGAAAGGTTCCTTTGACCAAACCTAAACTACTACATGTTTTTGGGGTCGCTGAACATGAATCTGAAGTCCGTTTTGCTCCATCACGTCTGGATTTTCTTCTAACCTCAAAAAACATCTCGGATTTCACGAGAAAATCCGGGGAGGGTTTTGAGGTTAGGAATTTGAGGTTTGGATTGTAATGAATTTGAAAGTATTTTTGGTTATTTACATGTGTAAGTGTTTACATACAAAATAAGCAAACATTAGGTTTGTTCGTCGAAAATCCAGCAAGAATTATCCAACACTCAAAATATCAGAGAGTAAGAAAAAATTCTCTCAAATTCTCTCTCATGTTGAGAAACTTGCAAATTTCTGCACGAACGCAAATTTGCAGGAATTTGCAAGTTTCGCTGCCAGCTGGCGTCCACGGTTGCATTTCAAACATAAAAAATTTTTATAGAATTTTTATAATTCTTTCGGATGGCCAAAAACAGGATATACATGTATATTTCTTGTTGTTCTGACTTTCTTTAACATACATTTCAATTTCTTCATCGTACTAGCTGTCGGGTTTCTTAAATCGACTCTGGTTGCAATTGCATTCCGANTTTTTTCATAACAAAATCGTGTTTATAAATTTTTAAATTTAACGAACTGATTTATTCAAATTATTGTAGACAAAAATGCAACCATGCGGCACAACCACATGTTTTTCGTGTTTGCAAATTCATGCTGGGAAAATTTTTTCCAGCAAAAATTTGCAACTTCTCTTNTCAGCCGTGTTAAATTCAAATCATTGGAATTAACTAAATTAATTATATCAACAATTATTTACTTCCTTTTTTCATAAAAAAATCGCTCGTGTTTATAAATTTTTAAATTTAACGAACTAATTTATTCAAATTATTGTAGACAAAAATGCAACCATGCGCCACAACCACATGTTTTTCGTGTTTGCAAATTCTTGCTGGCAAAATTTTTTCCAGCAAGAATTTGCAACTTCTCTCCAAGAGAACTGTCACTTTGCTCTCACAATTTTCGATTGTTGGATAAATTTTTGGTCTGCACAAACGCGATTAGGGCAAAAATCGAGATAATTCGTACAAATTCGTACAAAAATTTTGCTCGACGAACAAACCTATTTACAACTAAATTTAGAGGTTATGTTGAAGTTGACAGAAGTTACCATTTTTTACTAGTAATTTTCAATGTTAAGCATGCTTTACAGTTCAATGCGAGCGTGAGCGTGAACGTTCGCAAAGGCAAATAATTCCATTTGTATTCTTTGGGACGCTCACACACATCTGTCAAAACTGGTCGTTCACATGCGAATGCTTTGCGTACGCACACAGTTGAGTGGGAGCTTGAAAAAAGGCATATTATGCTTTTTAAATTAGTTTTTATTCTGTATTTATGAAAGATATTTTAATTCTCTATCTTTTGATGTATCAACTATTGCAAAAAGTTAAGTAATAACGAAGATATTGGTCAAAATAAAAAGCTCACGCTCACGCTCGCATTGAACTGTATAGCAGGCTTTACTCTCTCGCTCGCTCAACGGGTGGGAAGGGCCGGCGCTTTACACCAGGAGCGGAGATGACATACCACCAACCCATAATGCCACCATCTTCCTCCCATGGAGCATAGACAGGGGCCAGGACTATGCACTGGGTCTCCTGAGAGCTCAGAACGAGAGCCTCAACACATCACTCTGGAGAGTCATGGAGGCAAAAGTTGAGGACGGCTACCTACGGCTGAATGTGGCTGTCGATGAAGACTCATTCTGCAGTATGAGACGGCAGAGCTTTAGGCTCAATTACAGGTACGGCAACGTCCTCGTCAAGCCATGGAAGCAGAGAATTCCTGGGGACGCTGCCCACACGACGCCAACAGGTGAGGCATCAACAGGCATGGCAATGGCCGTCGATGAGCAGTGCGTAGAAGGGCCTTCGACCTCCGCAGCTGCCTCATCGACAGCAATTGATAGAGACAAAACTGTCGACGAGCACCGCGTGGAAGGGCCTTTGACCTCCGCGGCTGCCNCACATGGCAATGGCCGTCGATGAGCAGTACGTAGAAGGGCCTTCGACCTCCGCGCCAGTCTCAGCGATAGCAAATGACAGAGACAAAATTGTCGACGAGCACCGCGTGGAAGGGCCTTTGACCTCCGCGGCTGCCATCGCGACGACAGAGACAACAGGATGGGCAGCTCAACAAGATGTGCCATCGACCAGGGAGCTGGAGGAGCTGGGAGAAGGCTTGAACCTTCAAAGCCCTGGCAGAGAACCGGAGGAACTAACGCTCTCAGAGGTAGACGAGCCGATGGTCCAGAGAAAAAAATCTGGACAACACCACGCCTTAGGATTGCCCAGTTTAACCTCCATCACGCGGTAGCTGCATCTGCAGTTATCGCAAGAAAGTTCACTTCGGAGGATCTGGGCATAGTCTTAGGCCAAGAGCCGTGGGTGTATAAAGGTCAGGTGAAGGGCCTGACGGAGAAGTCTATCAAGGTAATCTGGGATTTATCATGTGATAACCCAAGAGCTTGTGTTATGTTAAAGAAGGAGACTAATTACTTCTGCATTTCAGAGTTTCTACCGAGAGATCTGGTGGGAATCCAACTACCGGTTAATCTCCACGGACAGGCAAGAGAAGTAGTTTTTGCTTCGGCTTACTTCGCTGGGGATGCCGCCATACCACCGGAGGAAGTTAGAGCATTGGTAACGGCAGAGGACTGGTAGAGTACAGCGAGAAGCTGCGCTTTCCATTGGTTATTGGATGTGATGCCAACGCACATAATGTACAGTGGGGCAGCACTGACACCAATAAAAGGGGTGAGCTTCTACTAGACTTTATATTAAGTAAGGGCCTTAGTATTTGCAATGTAGGTTATAAGCCCACTTTTGTAACTAGGGTAAGAGAGGAAGTTCAGGACGTTACTCTTGGGAACACCTGGGCGGGAAATTTGATCTCGGACCGGAGGGTCTCCTCAGAGCCCTCGATGTCGGATCATAGGATCATACAGTTTTCCCTAGAGATCTCCATGAATAGAGGCATGCCCAGTAAGAATCCCAGGAAGACCGACTGGAACAATTATCACAGACCACTACAGGCAAACCTAACCACCACAAACGTAGAGAACAGGGCTAAGCGATGGGAGGAATTGGAGGCGAAGGTCGGCAGCTTAAATGAGGCAATAACGAATGCCTATACATCAAGCTGCCGGCTGACTTCACCAAAAGGTCAGAATAGAAATCCATGGTGGAACTCCAACCTCTCAGGTCCCCGGAAAGAGGTCAGAAAACTCTTTAACCGTGCGAAACGTACTAGAAATTGGGATGACTATTTGTCCCCCGGAGGCTGCCAGATTGCACAGAGTAGCTAGAGGTACAGGTGAAAACCATATGGCGATAAAACTACCAGACGGCAGCTACACCAAAAGTGAGGAAGAGAGGGCCCTGGCCTTTCTGACTACCCACTTCCCAGGAGCATTAACTCCGGTGGCAGAGGATAGTGATTAATGTCATAAACTAGCCTCGGAGGACTGGAAGACGGCAAAATACCTGTTCACCTGGCCGACCGTACGATGGGCCATCGATTCGTTTGAGCCCTATAAAACCCCTGGGGTGGACGGCTTATGGCCGATTTTACACCAGAAAGAACTGGATCTGCTTACCCCGATCCTAATCAAAATCATGCGGGAAAGCCTGGAACTAGCCTATCTCCCACAGTCGTGGATGAGAGCCTGTGTCAAATTCATTCCTAAGATAGGCAAGTAAGACTACTCGCTGGCGAAATCTTTTTGCCCGATTAGTCTAACATCATTCCTTCTTAAGGCAATGGAGAAGATCATAGACAACCACATTGCATCATGGGCCACACGCCTATCGGGCAGGTAGATCGACGGCGCTGTTCCAGCTGTCAACTACCATACGGAATGCACTTGAGGGGGGGGAGGTAACACTCTGTGCGTTTTTAGACATTGAAGGAGCCTTTGATAACACCTCACGCGAGGCAGTAGATCGAGCTCTAGAGAGAAGGAACGTAGCCATCCCGAATCGAAGATTCGAAGACGAACTACTTGAGTTACTATCCAACAACGGCATTTTGTGCCAAGGATACGTGGACGATATAGTAATTATAGCGAGGGGCAAATTTGAAAGCACCCTCTGCGACATTGTACAAAGAGCACTCATCTTAACTAAAAGATGGTGTGGCACGGTGGGCCTTAACATAAACCCCGCCAAAACAGCCATTATTACTTTTACTAGGAGAAGAAACCTTCCAGGCATGCACTCTATAACATTAGGGGGCATAGAGATAGAAATGTGCAATTAAGTTAAGTATCTAGGAGTCATCTTCGACAGCAAAATGCTATGGAATAAGGACATTGAGTACGCTGTAATAAAAGCCACACGAGCTTTAATGGTGTGCAGGAGACTGGCCG